TCCACCCCAAACCTCATTACACCTAGCCGACTCTGGTTTTAGACATTTTGCTTTGGAAACTGGTGGAGACCATTGCCTAACCAATAGCTATTCTCCCTTTCTTACTAAACAATAGTCACTATATTATTAGAGCTGACATTATATTCAGCTTTGATTGTATTTCTGGTCTTCCTTGCAACTAGATATATCCACATGATGAAGTTTAAGGTGCTCAGGGCCTTAAAGGCCCTGTTTGCCTTCTGCCCTTCTTTCTGCTTACTGCCTGGGAAATGAATAATGATGGTCGGGGTTCCCATAGCCACCTGGGATGATGAGATTACTTTGAGAATGGAAGCCAGGGTTGAGAATGGCAAAGAGAATAACAGAAAGGAGCCTGGGTCCCTGGTAATTTTGTGGAGCTATTTTATCAGCTCTGGTATACCTACCGCTATACTTTCACTGCATTTCATTGACACTTAAAATGCATCATTTATTTATATGTTATTAAGAATAAAACACTGCCTATCAAACTCATGCAATACTTTCTTATTCATAAACTGTGAAGTCATTTCAATTTCAGAAATGTTAAACTGAAAAAATGTGTCTTAGAATCAATAAAATATTAGAATTAACTCTTGTGTTTTTAAGCTGTAGTTATTTGGTGCCTTCTGATACATTAAATACATCCTACCTTCATCCTAACTGATACAGACTATTTTTAATTTTTTTTTGCCTCTGTGTTTTGAACTAAAAACTCCTAGAGGTTTCTGATTCCACCTTTATCAGGAAGTTCTTGTTTTAAAAATCAACTTTTTTGAAGTATAATTCACATACAATAACGTGTACTCATTTTAAGTATATGTTTTGATGAGTTTTGAAAAACTCACGTACCCATTTAACTACCACCACAATCAAGATATAAAACATTTTCATCACCCTGTACCTATCTCAGTCAATGCTCCCCACTCTAACCCTAAGCAACTGCTGATCTGCTTTCTGTCATTATAGGATTTGTCTTTCTAGAGCTTTATATAAAAGGAATCATACAATATTTGCTCTCTTTTGTGTCTGGTTTCTTTCACTCAGCATAGTTTGAGACTCATCCATGTTGTTTTATATATCAGTAGTTTGTTTCTTTTTATTTCTTAGTAGTATTCCATTATGTGGATGTACCACAATTTATTTATCCTTTTACAGATGATGGATCTTAGAGTTGTTTCTAGTTTGGGGATATTGTGGATAAAGGTGCTATGGATATTCACGTGCACAGGGAGTCATTTTTGATTCCTCTGCAGTCATTGGTCAGTTCTGTCCTCTCTCGTACTCAACCCTGGTTCTAAGAATCCTATAGCTCTTGCTATCCACCCTTTGTCTGCTTGTCTATAGATACTGGTTAGTTAACCCTATGTCTATCCTGAGTAGGAATTACCACCTTTAGCCCTGCTGCTTCTTTTGCACTTTCTAAACCTGATCATAAAAGGAAAGAATTAAATATACTAGAATATGACAATGGAGGACAGTTTCCCTGGGCACATAATATAGAGGAATAAATAGTACAAGTTCCCAAACTGCTTTCTGTTCTGTGAGAGGTAGTGGGGAAGGAACTCTGGCTTTGATGGCAGTCAGGTCTGTCTCCAAATCCAAGATTGGCCATTTATTAGTGTAAGAATCTAGGTACTTTAACTTCACTGAGCTTCATTTTTCTTTTCTTTTTTCCTGGAAAATGTAACCCTTTGCAAAATGTGAAAATTAAAGGAATTAATCCATTCAACAAATATTTGCTGAGAACCTACATATGCCAGGCCCTGTCCTAGGCACTGGGGATATACAGCAGTGAGCAAAATGGCAAAAGTGACTGATCCTATAGAGCTTCGATTCTAGCCTAGGGAAACAGACAACAAAAATAAAGAATCAAAGTCTATGTTATGTTAGATGATGATAAGTGCTATGGAGAAAAGTAGAGCAGGGAAGGGGGATGGAAAAGGCAATGTTTGCAACCCCATCTTGGCTGTGAGTTGCTAGAGACTAGGAATTGATTTTTCTCCTGTATTTCTAGCATTTATCACAGTGTTAGTTGTATATTATCTACTGCACAAATGTTTCCTGAGTGAAAGGAGTGACTGAATAAAAGCCAGTGTTGACGAGAGAAGTTTATCTCATAAAATCATTGTAATCCTGCTTACCTGGACGCTTTTACAGATTTCCAAACAGGTAATAATTATGTCAGCAAGAATAGTGCCCTTCCCTGCTCCTTGTTCTTGCTGGATCTTTAAGTGTCCCATTCTTAACCACTGTTAGAGTTTTTTTCTGGGAAATCAGAAATGTATTTTCTAAATAATATATACTTGATTTTTAAAAATAATTAACTACATTTGTCAGGCTCTTGCTGAATGAGTAACATAGAAAACAATTTGACAGATGGTTCAGTATGTCAATTTTTGTAATAAAAAGCTTTGGTATTCTACAGTGTCTGGAAAACTGGCATGAATATGCTACAAATATTAAAATCACATTTTAGAACAGTATTCAATGTCAAGGGACAATGTCCTTAATATGTGGTTAAATGGAGTAAAAAAAAAACCAAAACAGTATGCACAGTGTTATCTCATATATATAAAATACAGCAGGCCTTACAAATGATTGTGATTTTCTTCTTTGTGCTTTTCTACATATTTTCCATCAGCCCACATTATTGTTAATCATTTCCCCCCATTCCTATGGTTTTTAAAGTATTATAAACTGTATGTAAAAGGAATAAGAAAAATTTACATGCATGATGGCTTGATATATTGAAATGTTTACTTAAGGTCTATAAAATTTGGCAGACTGCAGGGGTGACTAGAAGATAAAAGACAGAAATAACCCAGACTTTTGGAAACAGCCTACCTCCTAGGCTTGTTTGATGAACAAATTAGATAGTATGTGTTAAAGTGCTTTATAAATTATTACTTGTGTAATCATAAAGCTTAATGCCTGTGTCACCCACTATAAACTCAATGAAGGCAGGAACTTTTTTTTATTGCTATTTCTCCATTACCCATTCAAATATGTGCTCAATAAACATTTTGTAAGTATATAGTTTTTTTTTTCTTTTTTGGTAACTAGTAATTATTTTACAGGAGAAAACTGTACCATCAAATGATTTGATGGCTCCACAATTCCTTCATTCAAGATGTACCGAATTCCTATCATTCAAGATTTACTCAATCTAGTTGACAATGTACTTTTCTACCCCAGTAATAGGATACACACAACCTCTACTCAAGCCACTTCAGGATACTATCTTCTGAACTATTGATGCCTTCTCTTCTCTGCCTAAAGTCTGTTAAAACTTAGCTCAAATCCAAAATCTTTCTTTGAGCTATGTGAAAATATGCTTGTTTGACATCTCAGACTGCTGATTTTTTAAAACTTTTTTTTTTTTTTTTTTGTCTGCTGGCATGTACAGGGATAGAACCCTTGACCTTGGTGTTATCAGCACCATGCTCTAACCAGCTGAGCTAATAGGCCAGCCCTCAGATATTTTTAATACCTTGTTTGTTTTTATATTTCTATCCCCAGGGACTAGGACATCCCACTGAATATGGCAAATATCCAATAAGTATTTGATGATTCAATTATTTTCACAACACATCATTAGCTTACAATTTTTGTTCCAATGAAAGTAAACCAATTTCCTGAAACTCTTCCCTTGCCCCACACTAAGGTACAACTATTGATTGTTTTGTGCAATTTTTAAAAAGTATTCTCTTCAATAAATGCAGCTTGTTGTAAAAATTATTTCAGTTATGTCACAATCTACTCGAAGGACAAGTAACAAGAAGTTCATTTTCCAATTCCAGTAGTCTGTGTTACGGATTATGCTTTGTTACAACTCCAATTCCTTGGATTCCACCCCGCCCCCCCAACCCCTGGGATATTACCTAATTAATAAGGTTGAAATATGGCAATTGTCATTCTGGATCCGAAGTTCCAGTGCGCTTCATCCCCTGCATCATTCCATGTGAAAATTAGGTGCTTAGGAAAGCCTATAACCCATCATCTAAGGAGCTATATTTAGAGTTCAGTTTTAAAAAGTACTGAGTGCGTGGCTGGGGAAATGCCCGTGTAGTTACGTGGTGAGTGGAGTCCTGGGCCAGGTGCGAGGCTCTCAGCGACGTTTTTCTGTGTTCCTGGCCAACCATCTCCCCGTAGCTGTTTGTTTCCGTGACTGCGCTCCTGCAGAGCACAATTAGCTCCAACACTACTCTACAAACCAGTTTTGTAGAGACTTAAAAATGCTTGCTCTGGCGGCTCCTGATTTTATATAAAATCAGAAAACCCAGCTGGATCCAAGGCAAATTTATCACTTATTTCAGGGCCCCTCTGAAGGCGTAGAGAATTATGACTTCGGATTCGAGAGCACGGCCCCAACACAAACCAAAGCACGGAGACGCGGCGACTCCACCACGGTGACAAAGTGCTGAGGCCTGGGCACTGGGACGCCAGGAGCCGCGGCGGCTCTGGGTCCGGACGGCAGGGCGTGAAGTCGCCCGAGTTTCCTCAGCGCTTTGTTTTTCCTGTCACAGCACAGAAATAGCAAAGCAGGGGTGGGAAGTCGCCCAGCAGTTTTTTTTTTTTTCCCCCGGGCTGGCCCAGGGAAAGGGGAAGGAAGAAGCGAGAGCTGCGCGAAGCCCGCCCTGAGGTAATAGCGACGCCTCTGCAGCAGACCTCGGGCGTCGTTCTCCGACCACTTCCAGAACGCTCCGAGCCGCTCTGTAGGTCCCGCCCCTGCCGGGGTTTCCCCGCCACCCGCTGTCGTTTGCATGGCACGGCCCCTCCCCCGTTGCCATTGGCCAGCGCCGGCCCCGCCCACTACCCCCCACCGCGGCTGGGTTCGGTCCCCCGAGCTGCCCGGAGCTGCAGGGAGCGGGCGGACTGTTAAACCGCGGCGGCGGCGGCTGGGGCGGGAGCGGGGCGCGCTCTGCAGAGGAGTCAGCGGCGCCCCGGGTGGGGGGAGGCGGGCGGACAGCTAGAGATCACTTCAGCAGCCCCCACCACGGCCGGACCGAAGGTGCGGCGGCGGAGGGGAGCCTGGGCGCCCCAGCAGGCGAGTGGCCGGCGTCTCAGCGGCGGGCTCAGGGGGTGGGTCTCGCCTGTCGGGGACGGTGGCAGCGCGGGGAGGGGAGACGGCAGCAGTCGGCCGGGTGGACTTGTGGGTCAGGCGACCATCGGGAAGCCCCTCCGGCCCCCGAATCCTCTGGATTGTTGGACTCTGGGTCCCGGCACAGGATCGCACTCTGGGCAGGGGTCAGACCTTAGCCAAATTTAAACGGCTAAACGTAACAGCGTTGGCAGGAGCTAGGGCGGAGGGGAGAAAGAGGTGGAGGGAAGGGTGAGGGCGTACCTAGGCGCGGGTCACGTGGGGAGGGGCGGGGCTTGGCAGGCCTCCCTTTTGTTTTGGCTTGCGCGTGCGCAGAAGGCAGAACACGTGGTCTTCGGGGCCCGCCCCTAGACTCAGCGGCAGCACCTCACCAATTACGGGTGTGGTGACGGCTGTTTTGGGGTAGCTGTTTTGGGGAGGCGGGGTTGTCTGTGTTAGATGTGACCCTTACTTTACTTATTTCATTTTAATTCAGGGAAATGTTGATTTGGCCTCTATAATTAGATGGGATATCGGAGATCCTAGAGGATATTGAGGGATGATGCTTTCAAGTTCGTGTCACTTCTGGGTGTGCTGAGGACGGGATCGGTCTTGCTGGAAAAAATGTGCGGTGTTTGGTAGCGAGAAATGCAGGACTATGTTTTGGTCGTTTTCAGAAACCACAGGGAAGGAAGAGGCTGGGCTTTACAGCCAAGCGTGCCGGCACTAGTTGAACGTTCTTGTCATGTTTTCTTACTCCGGGGGAATTAGTCTTTGGTTCCTTCCCTGACCGCTCCGCCTCTCCGATGAGGAGTAGGGAGACTTGTGGGGTTTTTTTGTTGTTGTTTTGTTTTAACTGTGGGAAGCATATTGTGTTTTTGATTTTCCAGACTTAAGAACAGTCGTATGCTGGCGAGATTTTAGACTCCCTTCCTTCGTCCTTCCTTAATCAGTTTGCTTAATTTCGTGTCAGTAGAAATGTTTTTTAAATACTGACTGATAGGACAGGTTTGTTAGCAACAAAACCTAAATGAAATATTTATGAAGACTGCAGACAAAACCGGCAGTGTTTTTGACTAGGAAAAAGTTTTCCTAAAAATAATTCAATATTGTAGAAAAACCTGGTGTTCTGGAACGCAGATTGCTTGAGAAAGAGGCTTTGCAGTGAGTGGTCTCTGCCGTTTCCAATTCTTACTAACTAGCCATTTCCTTGGGCAAGTCACAGCCTCTCTGATCTCAAATCTGTTTCCTCTTGTAAATAGTTTCATAATATGGTCCCTGTCTTAAGAAATTGTTATGATGATCAAATGTCTTGTAAAAGGGATTTGTGATTTTTACTAACTTTGCAAGTACAGAAATTGCTAAGTGATATGATTTTTATGACACAAGTCAGTTTTTAGAAGTTGGCATGTTGGAAGAATATAAGCAATGAATGAAGCATAAAGTAGGATATATTTGATAATCTTCAAAATCTGTTGTAACTGTTACCTTTGATTCCACCTACTTAGATCAGTGTCAAGGTCTGCCACCATTTCCTCATAGCTTTTTTTTTTTGTCACGATAATACTCCACCTCGTAGTTTTAGTCTACATAAATTATTATTACTTCTCTTCCCAACCTTTCTGGCATGATTTTTTACATGAAACTCTTCTTAATCTAGGCCAATTCTATCACGTTGACTTTTTACATTTACATTTTAATTTTGTTTCATAATCTGTGTCTTTTAAAATAATAATTGCTTATTTTGTTAAATCTTATTTATTATAAAACAATTGGGAAAGTAGGGACGAGTGCAAAGAAGAGAAATAATACGAAAAATAAAAATAGTTTGTACCTTTTTTAAAATATCTGTCTATGTGTATATGTATATTTTTCCAAAAACTGGGATCATATGGTATCTTCATTTAACTTTAACTCGGACACATTCTAATATCATTAAATATTCTTTGAAAAAATTAATAGCCACTTAACATTTTGTCATGTAACTGTCATATTTTATGTTTTTCCTATTGGCAGATGTTTGGGATATTTCAAGTGTTTTTTGGTATAAATTTCACTGTGGAAAATAGCCTTTTACGTAAATATTTGAAATTCCTCCACCCCTTGATTTGTAGAAAAGGAATTGCTGGGTCTTTTTTTGTTTTTGTTTAACGACTTGTAATGTCACCAAACTACTTTCCTGAATATTGTATTGATTTACACTCATCTAATGGTATGAGCATGCCTCCCATTAAGTCTTTGTTCATCATCCAGTATTAACCTTAAAATGAAAAACCTAGCTTTAATTTGTGTTTAAAGTTTTTTTTTATTTATGTCTGTGATGCATCTATTTTATTTTCCTAACTTATAAGGTGCTTGAGTGAAGGAAATATGTTTCATATTTGACATACTACAAATTACTTAGTGAGTGTTCAATAAACACTTGCCAATTGGCTATTAATATTTACCTTTTTTATCTCTGGAAGGTCACGAAATTGTGATATTTATTTTTGTCTTAATTTATGAATATACTATAAGGAACCTACTATTACTGTTTGACTGAGTCATTACTTGAATACTTCCTTCAGGTGGGGCCTCACTGATCTTACCACAGTTGTCTACTGAAAGGTCCATTAACCTTAGTTCCCATTGTCCAACTGCTGCATTATCCAAGAGCTTCATCCAATTTTGATGCCATTTGTAATGATAACTTAGACTTATTTGTTTATTCATTCATCTGTCTACTGTGGAATTAAAGGTTTCACTCTGATCATTCTAGTTTCACTTGTAGCCTTCTATGTGTTTGATAAAAAGATTTCTAGTGTCTAAAGTTCCTTTGTTTTTTTTAGATTGTTCTTAATGGCCCATCTATTATTGCCTATGGCATTCTGTACTTCCATTTAATCTACCACATAAACCTGATATGCAATATGTAATTCTTGTTTTCATGTCTTCATCCAGTTATCTGTGTACATATCCTTTTACTTTTGTCTATACAGTACTATTAGGTAGTTGAAGGAGGCACAAAGCTGCTTCCTTCAGGTTTACATTTGTGTTTAGGATTGTTTACTAATTGGGTTTGCCAAGTTTTGAACAGCAAGTAATGGGGTTGCTTTCAAAAGAAGTGACAGCTAATGGGGAATTAGCAACAAATTTACAGACTTTAAAGCATGTCATGTCATATCTTTGTCCTTAAAGTAGTTACTGCATTACAGTACTATAATGGAATATTGTACATAATGATGTCCCTGATTTACAATACAATCTTACATTACTTTCAGTATGTTTAATTTAGAAAGGCATGGAGGGTATTTCTATGCCTAAGTCATTTCCAAAAGACTTCTATTTTTTTTTTCTTTTAAATATTGTACCGAAGGGATATTTCACTGAGCTGTGCTCCTTATTCTCTAATCATGTGGGATAAATAAATACCCAGCAAATGTTAAGAAAAAATGGTAATGTTATACTTGTTGGTAGACAGTCTATAATGAAAATCTGACGGCAGTTCATAATGGAAGTTTTTAATACTTGATCTTATTTTTAGGTTTTAGAAATACTTATTTCTATATGGTTGTGAAAATTCATTGATAATATTGAGGCTTTGTTAATATTTTTAAATGCTTCTGAACTTTTTATATATTCGTTTGTAAAATCGAGGCTTTTTTCCCAGTCCTATTAAGACAAAGAATTCTCTTAGGTTCAGTACAGTAGTCTCTCAGGTATGTTATTTTTAGTAATTAAAAACTGTGTTATTTGGTAGTAAGTCATTAATAACGTTTAATCAGGTGAAGTTAAATTGAAGCCAAAATGTAAAATGTTAATTTGAAGCCAATGTGATAATGCACTTCTAAATGTAAACTGGATCCAAGTTGATGTACATAGAAAAAAAATGATTCTTCATTTATATTCCTATGAGTCATGCACTGAATAATAATAATTCTGCTTGAAGTATGATCTGTTTGATGTGTTATGTGGCCACCCAAGTGGTTTTATCTTTAATTAAATTCCTTTAGTCTTCAAAGAGAATTCCTTTTTAGGGATAGTTTTCAAAGTGGAAGAAGTTCTTACTTATAAACACCATTGAATACGAAGTACTGAGCACTGGTCATGCCAATTACTGCAGTGTTTTCTGCTGTAAATTGAAAATTCCCATAAAGTGGCATAAAGAAATCTTGAAAACACACACTGTATTTTGTAATCCCAGCTTCCATTAATTCCTATATATTTAAGGAATAAAACCGTACCAGTGGGAACTCATGCTTCTTACTTTTGTTTTAGTTGGATTTTTCCTTTATGTGTTACAGGTTAGAAATTCTGACTCCCTTTGTATTTTAGTAATGTTTAAGAGGAGTTCTAATATTTTGCTAAAATAATTTTTTTCTACTTTTTTTTCTTACTGTTATTAGTATGGGTCGGCTATCTGAAACACAATTAAGTCATAAGTGTGGAAATAATTTAATATTTGACTGTGCTTCAGAATTCTTCCCCCTCTCTAAATACTATTCGTAGTCTTTTCACTTTCTTTTAGCATAAGGATAAAATCTGCCTTCTTTCTGATATTTATTCTAGTTTGTTTTACTGCTCTGCATTTGAGGAACTGGTATTATCAAGATTCCAATTAAAAAGAATAAATTTAATGTTCAAGGGTAGATTTGGATAGGATATTTTCCGTGGACTAAATTGTAATCAAAGTATGGAACAGTATTTTAGGGAACACCAAATCAGATTTGGTCTTCAATGTTCATTCTCAGGAGGAAGAGTTTCTTATTTAGATTATCAGTTCCAACTTTGAAGGTAGAAAGAGTAGATTAGCAAATATTTTATTTTTCTATAGAAAGTATGTCAGAAATTAATTGGAATATGTGACCTATATATGAATTTGTAAAGGCTTGTTTACAGAGTGTCTGGACCAACTCAGTAATTGTTGACTTGCTGATTATCTTACCGTGTGCATGCTGCTTTTCAGGGATGGTAGCTCTTAGAATATT